CCCTCCCCCCCAATCAATACACATCCAGCACGGACTGCACACATATGGGAAATATTAGGCTGTGCGTCTGTCAAAGACTGACCTTCTCACTTTCCCCCCCGACCTCACAGACAGGACCTCAGCTGGCAGGTCCAAACTGCTGGTCAACGATTGGTCAGAGGAGGACGTGTCAGAGTGGCTGGTGGAAGAAGGCCTCGGGGGATTGGTTGACAAATTCAGAGCCAACGACATCGACGGCACCGAGCTGCTCAATCTCACCAAGGAAACGCTGGCGTCAGAGCTGCTCATAGGTGAGGAGGACGAGCATCACGCACAGCACAGTCAGTGCAAGGCCACATGGTCAGATCCTACTGTCGGTTGTCCGGGTGAAAAAGACAGCTATATCGAGTGACACAGAGCAGTGGATCTAAGTTTAAACTTATCTTATCTTAATGGCAGAGATATTGAAAATAGTTTGGGTCTTTTAAGGAAATATCTGGTGTTTTTTTTTCATATACACAGAGGTAGAGAATCATTTTGGAGCCATTTCGCTTCACTGAGAACGCCTACGTTATATACATTTACATGCAGAAATAAAGTTCTTTTAAAAACATCATAAATTAGCTGTTGTTTTTTTAAAGTAAGATTTATATATATTTTTTTCCTGATTTTTTTTTTCTCAGCTCATTCTTCTTGAATCATTTATGATCCAGCATCAACTGAACCCTGTCAGTTAATACATTTTTTATGCCAGTTTCATTATACCATATATGGACATTTTTTCTTTTTTTTTTTACTTTCGTACTCACTGATCCATTTGTAGGGATTGTTAAATTAGACATAGAGGGGAAAAAAGTGAATGTTAATAAGAACCTAACCATACTCAGTAAACAGTTGTTAGTGAAATCCAATTATTCTGTTTTTCTCTTGAACAAGAGGCTTAAATACATGAAAAAAAAGGAATATTAGCAGAGAGTCTACAGGTTATTCATGTCTCTTTTTCTGTGTCTGAAGAATCCATAGGGCTACGCAGTAAACTCCTCAGGAAGGTGGAGGAACTTAAGAGTTGTTCCGTGTCTTCAGATGTACCCGACGAGTTTCTCTGTCCAATCACCAGAGAGCTGATGAAGGAACCTGTCATCGCTGCGGGTAAGTTCACACACATGCAGAAAATGAGTCAATAAGTCAGAGGTAAAGCCCTGCGTTAGTTTTAGTTTCACTGGTCCATACGATGTGTATAGTGTTGTTTATATCAATACAATACTGTAGTTGTACCAGTACTTTTTTTGGCAGCAGTGATGTCACTGCAAGAGTGAGAGATTTTGTCATGAATGTTTCAAATCAAAATAAATAGAAACGTTGCTGGAAATTTGAGTCTAACGATTAGGGCCCAGCAGGTGGCAGTAGTTCAACTTAAATCATGCAGCGCAGCCAGGGGAGGGCCAGGATCAGCTCATTGACCAAACCAAACATTTAACATCCAATTGGTAAAAGTTCATAGTTCCAAGGTAAGAATTCTGATACCATTTACCAACAGATGGCTACTCCTATGAAAGAAGTGCCATCGAGAGCTGGATCAACACCAAGAACCGTTCCTCCCCCATGACCAACCTGCCTTTGTTAACCACTCTTCTCACCCCTAACCACACCCTCAAGATGGCCATTGGCCGCTGGAAGACCAGCCACTGACATGAGAAGTCCCTCAGTGGACGAGCTTTAACAGCAAGAGGAGTAGATTTGAAGTGAGGCTGAATGACGGTCAAACCTGGATGGATGACAAACCGTCTCTGAATGGGACAGAAGGCAAAATTCAGTTGTGTATGCAGCCAGTAACAGCTTTAAACCAATGACGCGTTCTAACTTGTAGCCTTAAAATTATTTATTATTTCAAAAAGCTTTTTCATTTGCACGCACACGTATATGTACAACTGGTCAAAAAGCTGAGGCTTAGTTAGGTTTGTTTAATTACAAACTATATTATTTAGTCCTTGTTGTTTCCTTTAAAAAAACCTGAGGACAAGAGAGGTGAAAGGTCACTACCTATAGTCTTACCATTAGGTGGCACAACGAAGTGGAACAACCAACGCTAGACTGTGAATTTCAAATGAATACGATATTCTAATCATATTCAGAAATAATATTTGTCAGGGATGTCTGATCACTTCGGCCAGTCAATATTATCGGCCAGATATTAGCATAATTATGTGATATCTGTAAAAATTGTTATCGGTTTCCTGAAAACCCAATAATGCAATGCTTGTGTTTTGCCAAATGATGTGTGCCCTAAAAATAGTTTCGGGGAAAAACGGCTGTATATGAAAGTGAAAGTCACTAGATGGCAGCATTGCAGCACATTTCATTAATCTATTTTAATAATCAGGAGATTGTATCCTGATGTCAGCAACTCATCCTGTGCTTTGTACAGATTACCAGGCGCTCAATAGTATTTCAATTCGGGTGAGGGGTGAAAAAACTTCTGTCCTCTAGGGGGAGCATGGCAGAAAATAGTTGAGAAACACTGCTCTAACCAATCGCCTTTGCGAGCAGGCGGCACTTAACTTCCTTAACCGCTAGGCCACCACTGCCCCGCTATATCGGTATCTGTTGATATCGGAATCGGATATGAAGTCCTTGGACAATATCGGCAAAAAGTTCATATCGGACATCCTTAAAAGTGAAAACAAAAGTTTTCACTTTTTATAAAACACCTTCACGTGAACTGAAGCTGAGGCGGAATTTCCTTTGATTATTGTGAAAAAAGAAGCAGCTGCAGAAATGTTTTTGTCCTCCATGAATATTTTATTACACCACAGTTATGTTGTGGTCACATTCTGTCGCCCATAGTTTAGATTTCAGAGTTCGGAACTCAACGGGACAACTATGGAAATACAGGGATGTAAAAAGTGTTTTTTCTTTTTAAATATTTGACTGTAAATGCTCTCTGTGTTTGAATAAACCATCGACACTCCATGTGAACACGTTCTCTGCTATGCACAAAAATAAACAATATATTATAATGTATATATATATATTTATATATATATATATAGTAAATACTGAAGCAGTCAAGTCAATATTATATTATGATACATTGTGATCCATCTGGTGTGCAGAGTTGATTTATCTAACGAACCGAGAAAAAGACTCTTCGAGAACACAGGGTTATTGTTTTCTGTCGGAGCCTGTAAACCTAACGGAGAAATATATTCTCTGCAAATATAATGTACACCGTACAAATATAAATGTTTTGTTCACGTGACAATAAAAATGATTATAAACGGCAACTATCAGCAGGAGCTTTTGTATATTTGTTCCAAAAAAAAAAAAAACCTTCACTGAAATCTTAATTTAATGTCACAAATGAAAAGATGAAAAACAACATTCTGCTATGTTTTTTTTTTTTTCTACGTCAGTCTTTTCTGTTTTTCTGGGATACCAGATGTTTGGTCGTAGACCGTGTGAGCAAAAGCGCAGTAGCCTGAGTTGAATAGGAGTTAGATTGTAAAAGCAGTGCAGCAGCAGAACTGTACAAACACAGGGAGCTGGGAGCAGTGAGCTGATGTCAAACTGATCTCTACCGTTAACGTGTGTCACACCTACTGAAACTCTGTCTGTGCCCCCGTGTCCGTAGTCAGACGTTGGACTCTATGAACGAGCGTTTGGGCTTGATGGGAGCCATGTGCAGGGCGGGGTTGTCTCTGGTCAGGCTCGTCTGTCTGTGCCTCCCCCCATCGGGAAAGCGTAGCTGCGAGGACGTGGAGCTCCTAGCGTCACGCTGGTGCAGACGCTCTCCAAAGTCCCGACCCTGCTGCTGCTGCTGC